TACCTTTGTGTGTGTGTGTGTGTGTGTGTGTGTGTGTGTGTGTGTATGCCATGTGCATGGAGTAGCTGGAGGAGATTAGATCTTCTAGAACTGGAGTTACCTGATATGGGTACTGGGAACTGAACTCGGGTTCTCTGGAAGAACAGCAAGTGCTCTTCACCACCGAGCTATCCCTCCGTTCCCCTGTTTTTGTTTTTTGTTTTTGTTTGATTTTTGAGACATGCCCTCCAAGCTACCCTCTAACTCCTTATGTAGCTGATGGCCTTAAGCTTCTGACCCCCCCCTGCCTCTACCTTCTGAGTGTTTTGTCTACAGACATGTACCACCTTGCTTTATATATGTGAATCACACTCAGGGCCTCTGTATGCTAGGCAAGCACTCTACTGTCAGTGGAAAAATACAGCCTTTACCTCAAAAGGTAAATCTACTCAAAAGGTAGATCCCCTGGAACTAGAATTACAGACAGTTGTGAGACACTGTGTATGTGCTGGAAATTGAACCCTAGCTGAAGAATAGCCAATGCTATTGACTGCTGAACCATCTCTGTGGCCCCCAACCCAGTATTTTTTTTAACTTCCTCTCTAGCATATATGTAAGACAGACAAAATTGGGTTGTATTTCTAAGTATATGTGATAACATTAAGAAAATACAGCCAGAAAAACTTTTTCAGATGTCTTTTTGTTGTTTGTTTGTTTGTTTGTTTGTTTGTTTTTTGAGACAGGGTCTCACTATGTAGCTCAGACTGTCCTAGAACTCACTATGTAGAATCAGGCTGGCCTCAAACCCATAAAGACCTCCTGCCTCTGCCTCCCAAGTGCTGGGATTAAAGGTGTACACAACTATGTCCAGCTCAGATGTTTGTTTGTTTAAACTTCTGCCTTTTTGTATGTATGTATGTGTCTGTGTGTGCATATCTGTGTATGTGCATATGTGTATATGGAGGCCAGAAGTTAATGTCAGATGTCCTGGATTGCTCTCCACCTAATTGTTAATGACAAGGTCTCTCACTGAACCTGGAAGTCACTGCTATAGCTAAACTGGCTAGTTTGCCAGACCCAGAGATCTACCTGTGTCCACCACTCTAGCTCTGAGATCATAGGTGTGTGCTTCTGTGTGGGAGCTGGGGATCAAAACTCAGATCCTATGCTTTCACAGGAAGCATTTTATCAACTCACTCATCTCCCTAGCCCTAAACTTCTACCTTTGGATCCTGTACATTTGTCATTGTCAAACACATCTGATTTTTTTCTAAGACAGTTTAATGTGACTCAGCCCATATTTACTGAATCCTCATTGTGGTAGACACTGGGATTTATGTGAAACAATGGGCTAGACAAATGTGGGTCTTGTCCCTAAGAAACTGAGCACTCTGTAAAAGATTGGTAGTTAAGTGTTCTTCCATAGCACTTCTGTATGTCGGAGGAGCTCCAAGACCAAGCACAGGGAGGGACAGGTTCCTGGAAAGAACATGACCAAAGCGTAAGCTCCTCATTTCAGCTTATTGCTGTTTATGTGCCTGATATATTTTTATATATTGTATACATTTTATATTTATATGTTTTATAACTTTAAAATACCTTGAAGTCCTATATATTATTAATGTCCAAATGTTTCTGCCACACTATTGTGAACTATGTGTGTGTGTGTGTGTGTGTGTGTGTGTGTGTGTGTGTGTTTATACATATTTAAAAAAAATTTTGGAGACAAACCTGGAGCAACAGCAATAAGAGAAACAACCCAAATGTCAGTACATGTAGGGTAGCTTTTTCTGTTTTTAGCAAGATGCTGAGAAAGAATGCATGCAGATTAAATTGGTCCATTGACAAAGCAAAGATGGAATGAGTGTTACTTTGCTAAGGGGCACTCTTCTGTCTGCAGCCTGTGTTCTGAGGAGAGCCTTGAGGAGCTGCAAAGAGTCACAGGTCCACATTCCCACTTAAGACAGATGTAAAGAGGCTTCTGAAATCTAACCTGAGGTCTTTTCAGTTTGCTCCCGGGCCTCTTTCCTTCTTACTTCACTCTTCACTGTTGCTTTTCTTGCTTTAAGAAGTGTTCTCAATGTAAGAACTAGTGAGTGCAGCATATCCCAGTGACATTACCAAAGAGGGATGACAGTCTTTAGTGCTCAAAATAGGGTAAGATACTTGCCCATGGCTTCTTGTTTGTGGAAACAGGCTTGAAGTTCATAGTTTTTGAGTGGATTGTATTGCTTAGAAACCCAGGCTCATGTAGTTCACTTCAGCTCTTAAAGCCATCCCTGATCTTCTGAACTCAGGTTAACAGGAAGTGGACTGTGAAAGCTTTTGAACACCCCCCCCCCATCTTTGGCTATTTTCCCCAAGATCTCCATCTCCCCAAGACAGGGAGTGGCCCAGAGTCTGGGTCTGGCATCTGTGTAATAGAGTGCATCAGAGCAGGGCTTTGAGTCTCTTGAAAATAGAATTTGGTATTGCCAGATTAGCTGACTGAGGATTTAGTCCATTACCAAGTAAAGAAGTTTGCCTTTTCCTATCCCTGGGATTTAGGATTTTCTGTGACCTGGGCACCACCATGGATTCCCAATCTCATGTTTTTATTTTTCATCCCATCATTTATTTCCCACTAAAGTGGGGTAGGTGTCTTCCATATGCGCCACAGATGGACCCAGTGGGCAGAGCAGGCCAGCACATTAACCAGAGGCCCTCCATGTGAATCTGGGTGAGGTTAGGGGACAGACAGTAAACGGGAGTGTGCTATAAATTGCTTATGTCTATGCTGCATATCCAGAGAGGGACGACAAGGAAGACTATAATGTGACTTCTCAGTCTGTCCGGCATCTTTTGTAAGCATTTATCTACTGAGTGTCATTTCCACTGAAGCCATTGTTTTGTTGAAAAGGAATGGGCTGGGTGAGGTTCCCCTCCTGCCTTCAGTGCAAATGCAGTAATAGCAGAAGGAAAGGCAAACTGCTGTTCCAAAGGGCTGCAGACACGGAGGAAAAAGGATTCTGGATTCTTAGCAGCACCAAGGACTTACACTAGCTCAGGCCTACTGTGTTTCATAATGGAAGAAAATTAAATCTTACAAACCACTGATGGATTTCTGGTTGTTCAAAGCTGATCACAATCCAAAGTAAAATTGATGGGTTTAGTAATTTATTCAATTTAACAGTCTCAAATGCTTGCATTTTCACTATAAAAGGCATTTGTGAAGCATTATGTTATTTGTTGTTTATCTTTTCCAATAGATTATGAGCCCCTTGAAGCCAAAGAAACTTTTCTCTTTTTTTTTGAGACAGAGAAAATAGACTTTTCTTTATTATGTAGCTCTGGCTGCCCCAGCTTTGCCTGTAGACCGGTCTGGCCTCCACCTCACAGAGGTCCCGCCTGCCTCTGCCTCCCAAGTGCTGGATTAAAGGTGTGCGCCACCACTCCTCTTCATGTTCATCTTCATCCCTTCCTTCCTTCCTTCCTTCCTTCCTTCCTTTCTTTCTTTCTTTCTTTCTTTCTTTCTTTCTTTCTTTGTGTGCTCTGTCTGCATGTATGCCTACAGACCAGAAGAGGGCATCAGATCCCATTGTAGATGATTGTGAGCCACCATGTGGTTGCTAGGAATTGAATCCAGGACCTCTGAAAGAGTAACTAGTGCTCTTAATTGCTGAGCCATCTCTGTAGCCCTGTGGGGCAGGAGAAATGACTCAGCAGTTCAGAGCTGATAGAAGATCATACTGATCTTCAAGAGAACTGAAGTTCCTTTCCTATCACCCACATTGGGTGGTTCATAATCATTTGTAACTTTAGCTCTGGGGAAATCTGATATACTCTTCCGGCTTCCTGGGGCACATGCACTCACGCACGCACACACACACATACATTCATACACATAAATAAAAATAAATCTTCAAAAATACTTCAATATGCATTTCTTTTTGTTATATTTTTTGAGATAAGATCTCACTATTTAGCTCTGGCTGTTCAGGAACTTGCTATGTAGTCCAGGCTGGCCTTGAACTCAGAGATCCACCTATCTCTGTTTCCTGAGTGTTGGGAATAAAAATGTGAGCCCAGTCCCCTCAATGTGCATTTCTTGACTATAAAGGACATTTCTTAATCACTGTTTACTTATCAGAACTAGGGTATTAACATTAATGAAATACTCTTGTTTAATTAATTTTTTTTCTAGGTTGTTGTTTAGCAGTGTGTCTCAGTGAGGGCACTGCTGTCATTCTGTCATGACAGTTCCTCATTGCACCAGACTGTCTTTCTCATTGCAGTTAGCATCCTTGGCTCCTGCCCAGTAAATTTTTAGCAGCATTCCCTAAGTGATATGTCTGAAGTCTCCCTCAGTTAGACACCGTTGTTAGGGGGTAAGGATGTAGCTCGGTGGTAGGGTACAAGTCTTGTAATGTATGAAGGCCAAAAAGGAAGGGAGGAAAGGAGAGGGGAAATTAGGGGAGGGGAGGGGAGCCACTGTTCTGTAGATATGGACTTTCTAAGTTAGGGGAGTGATGTCTTGCTTTCTATAAAAATTTCCAAGTATCCAGTCAAGGTGTAATACACCTATAGTCTTATTATTGGGAGGTGGAGGCTGGAGGGTCAGTAGTTCAAGGTTAGCCTCAGCTACATAGGGAGTTAAAGGCCAGCCTGACTATTTGAGACCCTCTCTCAAAACCATTCCTAGATGGCAATTTTAATTAGCAATTAACAGATGGCCAAAAATGTGTTTTTAGCTTAATTCTGTTCAGTTGTTTAATTAGTCATGTTTAGTAAAATGATGGACTCAGTTGTATGTTTTTATGTAATGAGGATCTTATTAAATGCCTCCATTTAGAGTCAAAGATTTCACCTCAGACAGCAACTGAAATAAAATGTCTCTAGAAATGTTTTCTTTGAGGTTCCTAAACTTGACAGTTTACAGTTGGAACTTGTGGGGGAAGTGATGTGCTGGCACTTAGGTCTGATTTGAGGATAGTGACTGGAGTTCTAATCATCTTAACCACTTGTCTCTGTGTTCCTTTTAGAACTGGTCCCCAGGAACGATCTTCTAACAGAAAACGTGCCGTACTGTGATGCGCCAGCTCAGAAGCAGTAAAGTGCCAACTCAGAAGCAGTAAAGCCTCCAGGACAAAATCCATCTCTGCCCCCTCTGACTTTAAATACATACCTGGCAAAAGTCCTGGGCATGCAGATGTTTCTCTCTGAAGCAGCGCGTTGCAAACAAACAAAAGGCTGAGGGCTGCAGGGTACTGAAGTGTTCTGAGGACATAGATGTGCCATCCCTTCAAACTGACAGGCAGTCTTAACCTGGCGACTGAATGCCTGGGGAAGTGGGACATGCTTCTCTTTCCCTTTGGTAGGTGTTTTGGTCTTACCAAAGCTATTTGCCAATGAAGCACTTTACCAACTTGGTGACTTTTCATCCCACGAGAAACACAACTGCTAAATACAAAATGCTGCCAAATTAAATTGATGTTTAATTTCCAAAATATTAAGTTGGTAAAATATTAACATTTTCCTGCCAGCTCTGTACTGAAAGTAACCATTGTTTCTCAAAGTCCTGTGGTTATTTCTGCAGATAACAAATAATTATGTGGCTTATTTCTCTGTTCTTATGAAGACAGTTTTCCCCTGGCCTGTGTAAATGTCTAAACACCATGAGTGTGCGGAGTCTGCAGAGGTCAGGAACAGGGTATTGGATGCCCTGGGACTGGAGTTGTAGATAGTCCTGAGCTGCTATGTAGGTGCTAGGAATTGAACCTGGGTCCTCTAAAAGAGCAACAAGTGCTCTTAACCACTGAGCCATCTCTCCAGACCCTATAAAAACATTTTAAACAGTCTTCTGAAGATGGATGGATGAAATGTCAACATCACTTTGGCCACTATAGAATAAAGACATCCAGCATTTTTCGGAAGTGGTGGCCCTCAGACTACTTGGTCTTTGTAGAATGAGCTATATTTGGATCATTTGGATGTTACTGTGAAATGCTGTAGATGGCTACATTCTCCTTTTATTTTTTTTGATATAGGATCTCACTGTGCAATCCTAGTCTTGAACTCAGAGATCGATCTGCCTCTGCCTCCCCAGTGCTTTTCATAATTTGATCCTGAGTGTTGCCAAATAAATAATAATAATTATACTTTATTAAAGTTAAAAAAATTTCACTGGGTGTGGTAGTGTACAGCTTTAAGCCTAGCACTCAAGAGGCAGAGGTAGGTGGATCTCTGTAAGTTTGAGGTCAGCCTGGTATACAAAGCAAGTTCCAAGACAGCCAGGGCTACACAGAGAAACCTTATCTTGAAAAACAAAACAAAAATGACAGAAAATCATTAGTGAAAAATAGTTGAGATAATATCTGAATCATATATCTGATAATTCTTATTATATAAAAAATATATGTTGGGCTGGAGAGATGGCTCGGTGGTTAAGGGCACTGACTGCTCTTCCAGAGGACCTGGGTTCAACTTCCAGCACTCACATGGCTGCTCACAACTGTCCATAACTCCAAGATCTGACAGCCTCTCATAGACATACATGCAGGCAAAACACCAGTGCACATAAAATAAAGATAAATAAATTATTTTTTTAAAAAAGAATATATGTTAGCAGGGTGGTGGTGGCACACATCTTTAATCCCAAAAAGATTTATCATATTTTAAGAACTGAGTATAAGAAAGCAAGCAGGGACTGAGATGGTGCAGTGGTAAAGAACTCTTGCTGCTCTTGCCTTGGACCTGAGTTCAGTTCCCAGCACCCATGTCACAGCTGTCACTCCCTCTCCAGGGAATCTAGTGCCCTCTACTGGCTTCCAAGGGCACTGCACTCACATACACAAACTCAAGCCAACAAACAATATACACACATAGTAAAAGTAAAGGAATCTTGAAGCAAGCAACCCAATTAAAAAGACATTATTTTGTGTGTATGGGTATTTTACCTACACATATTTCACCTACCACTTGCATGTTTGGTGCCCACAGAGACCAGTAAAGGTTGTCAGATCCCTTAGAACTGGAGTTGCAGATGGTTATAAGCTGCCATGTGGGTGCTGGGAATTGAACCCAGGTCCTCTGGAACAGCAGCTAGTGCTCTTAACCACTGAGCCATCTCTTCAGCCCTTCAACACAATTTATTATTTTTCCTTTAAATACTTATTTATTATGTGTACAGTGTTCAGCTTGCATGTATGCCTGTAGGCCAGAAGAGGGCACCAAATCTCATTATATATGGTCGTGAGCCACCATGTGGTTGCTGGGAATTGAAGTCAAGACCTTTGGAAGAGCTGGCAGTGCTCTTAACCGCTGAGCCATCTCTCCAGCCCCTTCAACACAATTTAAAAGTAAATATTTGAACAGATGTCTGCTGAAGTTTTCTTGTCCCACCAGGTCCCACTGCCCTTCTCAGCCCCAAATAAACACAGAGACACTATATTAGTTATTAAACTGTTGGCCGATGACTAGGGCTTCTTACTGGCTAACTCTGTCCTAATTATTAACCCGTTTCTATTAATCTATGTATTTCCACATGGTCTTGGCTTACCAGGCCTTCTACTTCTTTGTCAACTACATGGTTCTGGCGGGTTCCCTCTGCCTATCTTTCTCAGAATTCTGCTCACCTCCTAGTTCCACTTATCTTACTGCCTCATTGACCAAACAGTGTTTATTCATCAGCCAATAAGAGAAACATGTATACAGAAGAACATCCCCATCACAGACTCTTCATCAAAAAAGATGCACAGGAGCTGTCAAGATGGCACAGTGGGGGGCTGGAGAGATGGCTCAGAGGTTAAGAGCACTGGCTGCTCTTCCAGAGGTCCTTAGTTCAATCCCCAGCAAACACATGGTGGCTCACAGCCATCCGTTATGAGATCTGGTCCCCTCTTCTGGTGTGCAGATATACATGGAAGCAGAATGTTGTATACATAATAAATAAATATTTTTTTTTTTTAAAAAAAAACAGATGTCGCAGCAGGTAGTGTTAACTTGCTATGCAAGCTTGGCAACTGAGTTTCCTCTTGGAACCCACATGATGGGATGAAACAACCAAATTCTGCAAGTTGTCCTCTGACCTAAACACTCATGCTGTATGATTATATAATGCACACTCAATCAAAATTTTTAAAGATCTGCAAATGACAGATGCAGTGTGAAAAAATATTTGGCATTGTCAGGTCCTGGGAAATTAAAATCACAGTGGCATTAGAATGGACAAAATCAGGATGGCTGACAAATATCAGGGATAGGGCTTTTTGTTATTTTGTTTGTTTTCTGAGACAGGGTCTCTTTGTGTAACTCTAGCTAGTCTGGAACACATTATTTATGATTTTAGCCTTATTTGCCAAATCCCCAGATTATCTGTCCTCCTTTTGGCTCAGGAGAGATTCAGGTTTTATCGTGACAGTTGCTTTTGTGCCGCTGTGACAGAACAGCCAAAGAGCAACTCATGGAAGGGCTTGTGTTACTTCGTGACTTGGTCCATCTTAGGCGTGCTATCTCAGCAGAAGGTGGCAGCAGACAGTCAGCACGAAGCCTGGGGGGAGTGGGTGTGTTTTCCTAACATTAAAATGACTGTTTCTAGTACTTACTGTGCCAGTCAGGTGCCACCTCTTAAAGGTTCCATACACTTCAAAAGAGTCCTACAATCCAGGGACAAAACACTTAAAACACAAATCTGTGGGGGACATTTCAGAGTCAAACTGTAACGTGTGAGTGTGTGTACGCGCGCATGTGCACTCTTGTGCCTGCACCTGAGATTGTATACGTGCACATGGTATGACACACATGTGGAAGTCAGAGAGTAACTTGGGGAGTTGGTTCTCTGGGGATTGAACTCAGGTCATCAGGTTTGGCAGCAAAGCACCTTTTTTCTACCGAGCCATCTGACTGACCCACATATGTATATCTTGAGTTGGAATTGTGAGGGGCAGGAGCTATAGTTCAGTAGTACAGCGCTTATACAGTATGCATAAGGTCTGGGATTCAATCTCCAGTACTATAAGAAAAATAACAGATGGAATAGAGTGGAGATTGATAATTCTATGAGAAGTCTGTGGAGGTATGGACTAGAAGGTTCCTACAAAAGTTTTGTTCCTGCCTTTGTCAGGCAACCCAAGGATACCCAGAAATTCCCACAGTTAGCAGAATGCTTGCTTAGTGTGAGTTCTGAAGCCCTGATTCTGTCCCCAGCATTGCACAACCCAAGTATAGTGGTTCCCATCAGCAATTCAAGGTCAACCTCAGCTTCATAGCAGGTTTGAGGCTAGCCTGTCTTAATAATGAGATGATTAGAACATGGTCTATAAGATATAAATACACAATATGATGTGGTTTTACTGTCTTTTAGGTTCATTTTTATGTGCAGGTGTGTGTGTACTTGCATGTGGATATGTGCATGTGAGTGTAAGTGTCTGTGGGCCAGAGTGTGGATCTCCTGGAGCTGAGAGTTACATACGATCATAGCCAGACTGAAGTGGGTGCTGGGAGCTGAAGTCAGCATCTCTGGAAGAGGCAGGTGTTCTCAATTGCTGAGCCATCTCCTTAGCCTCCAGCTTTACTATCTTAAAGAAATATTAAGTGGGGCTATGTTTTTATTTCCCAGTACCCACGAGACAGAGGTAGAGGAATCTATGTGAGATCCAGGCCAGCATGGTCTACATAGTGAGTTCCAGGACAGCCGGGGCTATGTAGAGAGACCCATTTCAAACAAAACATTAAGAGGGCCTGGAGAGGTGAGCCAGTGATTAAAATCATGTGCTGCTCTTGCACGTTGCAGAACCCAAGTTCAGTTCCCCAAACCCAGATCACAATGACTGTCTCTGGGGAACATGACACCCTTTTCTCCACCCTCTGGGTATCACACTCACTGTGTGAGCACACATATACACACAGTTAAAGATAAAAGTAAGTATAAACAAACTCTATACCTAACACTATTTTTACGAATATAAATTGAAATTCAAAAATATTTTTTGATAGGGTCTCATATCTAAGATGAGCCTCAAGCTCACTGTGTACCAAGGCAGACCTAAAACTTGTGACCACCTCCCCAGCCTGAATGTTGAGATTAGCGGCATGTGCCCTGTGCCTGCTTTAAGAGAAAATCAGCTGCTGGTGATGGAGGCGTACTTGGGGGTAATCTTAAGCTTCCAGCCACACACGGCCTTATGTAGCTTTTCCCCACTTTTATCTTTTATTTTTGCAACAGAAGAGTGAAAAGGCTCAGTTCCCAGGGAAAAGGGCTGTGAGATGGGGTTGCCTGTGGGAGGTTTAAATCTGAGCTCTTAGGAGGTGATGGAGACCAGATGTGGCAGGGCCTGAGGCTGAAATGGCCTTCAGAATCTGGTCACACTAAGGCAAAAGGACCAGGACACTGTGTCCTGGCACGAAGGCCTGGCCTAGCAGGAGAGAGGCAGAAGGAGAGAAGGCTCCTGAGGGCATCTGGGTAGTGCACAAGCGACACAAACTGCCCTTGCCATCATTGCCTCAGATCGAAAGAGGTGGCTGAGCGTTTCTCTTCAGGGCATTGAGTCCATTAGAAGAGAAGCCGTGAACAAGCTGAGGTCCAAGTGATTTAACACACCATGCAGTCATTTATTCATCCAAAGTTTTTCTAATTCAAA